AATATCTCATTCATTAGCAATGGCCATGTTATTAATAGCTAGTATGTATAATACACAAAAATGGTGAACCAGGGCTCAGAATGAAACTCGGTCATTGCGCCTTTGAATGCTTTGTTTTGTCTACCTATACTATCAATCCCTGGTCATGGCAGCATTCATTAACTTAAAATTTCAAAGGAAATGATCAAAAATTAAAACGAAAGTTATACTCACACTTAACGATTAAGTTTCAGATCAGCTGCTATTTCTTGCGTCCATTATTAAACATTACCTACATCAATCGATTCAAGCACATAGGAACAAAAACACATGACTAGACTCAGCGCTCCTTTTACATTATCAAACAAGCAAAGAAGCTTCCATCATTTAAAATTTGAAATTGTGACATTACTCAAGAGCAGGCAAACATGGCGGTACTGCCAAATTGTGTCGGCTATATGTAACCAACACAGCGTCAGCGACACTTGAAAATGTGAGATAAAAAATGACACAAAAGATGAAACTTGGCAATTCTTGAGATATGAGGTGGAATAATTCACGTTCCTGAAAAGTTTTCTAAACTTGGGACTTCCTGTTATAGTTTAATAATATTAAATTGAGGATTTTGTGTAGTGTAAAATTAGTGCTACTGACCTAAAATTCACTGGTTTTCATAAAAATTAAAGTTTTCAGTGTAGAAAAAGCCGTCTTATGGTTGGTTCGGTAATGGTTTGGTCAAGAAGACACTTCAGCGAAAAATTTGATAAAAATACGTTGCCAAATGTGCGGCGACACTTTTTCTAATGCCTTTTCTCGCTTAAAAAAAAAATTCAGTTCAACAAGACGACAATTTTCTTGAACATTAGAGTCTCTTTTCATTATAAATATTGCCAAAGAATCCATGATCAGCACTGACTTACCTACTAACGCAAATTGCTCTTTTGCTTCAAAATCGGGGTTGGCGACGCGTACCTATATAACCGACCGGACACTTTCGGCCTTTAAAGTCTTACATTATTATTACAATCATAATACTAATCATAGTGTTTAAGTAGCATGGATAAGTTCAGGGACATCATTCCTATTGATATATCAACTTGGTTCTCAATCGTTTGGCTTTAAGTCGTTGGTAAACCCACGGCGACACGACCACTCCTTTTATCGAGAAATCACCCTTAGGTGATAGCGTAATTTGGCAACACGCACCTGCAGGAAGAAATGGGAGAATGCAGAACTGAGAGATGCGGCTCGCCCCGCGCGCCGCCCGCAGTAGCAGGGNGGGGGGGGGGGGGGAGCGGCGTACGAATCGGCATGGAGGTAATTCGGCGGTTTGCAGGCACCTGTAGAAGCAGCTCTGTCTGGACGGATAAGCGGCTCTCCTCTCCCGTTCTCTCCCCGCTCCCTTTTCTCTCGGCTACGTTTACACCGCGAGCGCGGTCCAAACCCCCGCTCAGCTCCCTCAGCTCTGCCCCCAAGGTAGATTTATACAGGTATGGAAAAGTTGAAAATTTCCCATGAGCCTCAGTACGTGTCACATGACCTCGTGACGTAGGTTAAGGGGCCCGTTTTTTAATTAAATTACAATCAAATCAACATTCAAACGTTTGTGCGTTTAAACGCTAAAATTAATATCGCATAACCAAAATTGTGCAAAAAATCCCACAAAATTTTGACAAACGATAAACCGAACATAATAAATCAAAATAATCAAAACATCCAAAATGGCTGACGTTAAGGGGCCGCTGGAGAGCCAATCAGAGGCCAGTTGTTTAGTTCTGTCCATACCTGTGTAAATCTACCTTGCTCTGCCCCCCGCGCCGCGCCGGTGCATCACCACTCCTCTCTCTCTACCCCTTGCCCCTTCATCATTGCTTCGCCCCGCCCGGGCCCGTTCCCCTCTCGCTTTGGTAGCCGGTGCTGGTGCGGTCCCGCTCCCGCGTCAAAGGATTTTCTCTCTCTCTCAGCCTCAGCGCCGTATGACGCTGTCGGAAGCCAAGCGTCCGTCAATTATTTGCTGTCTACAATTCTGTATGTATTGTTTCCCACATCCTTAGCCATAATTTATTAATGGTTTCAAAATATTTGAGGGTTTTCGGCGAACACAGCGAACCTAAGTATGGACGCCTCGCCACTGATACAATCAGTTGGATTTTTATTTTAAAACTTGATACATATACAGTCAGGCCCGCCACAAGGGGGGGGGATACTGGGTCCTTGGTACCGGGGCCCGGGCCCTGGAGGGGCCCGTGACGCAGGTGACAAACCACTACGAATTCATGTGTAACCCTTGTCTCGTAGGGAAAAGTGAAAAAATTACCCTAAAAATTCCGCAAAAGGTGAATAAAGTTTCAAAAACACGCTAGGGCACTATACAATTTTTCTTACTTTTTTAGAGATTTTCAAGATTTTGAGTATATGTAGAATGATAGTTTTAGTAACTGTGTTTCATTTTCTTCCGTTGTCGGATGCTAAGAGGCTCCTTTCTGGGCATCCTCGACTTCAATGGACTAACTCCCTTGCCATAGACGTACGAAAGGGGAGTCCAGGGGGGCCCGGCTCCCCATAGAATTGAAAATTATCATCTGCCCCCTCAAAAAAAAAATTTATAGATGTTTTGAATGAAACAATTCGAAAGTTTTTGGTGCTGAAAGTAAACAAAAAGGCGTAATTATTCTGCAGAAATTTATGGAAAATCTGCATCATAAGAGCTTCATAATGCGTCCAAATAGATTTAAAATTTCAAAAATTTCCCGGGGGGCCCCCCGGACCCCCCCCTCCCCCGTGGTAGGGGCCTGGGCCAGAAAATTGGTACCAGGGCCCGAGATGGGATGTGGCGGGCCTGTATACAGTATTCTCATCGTAGAGAAGTCAATTTTCTTACTTTTGCTCGTTTGACCGAAATGTATCATTCGTGGAGTTCATGAGTCGATAGACACGTAGTATTAACTAATACTACGTGTTCTATCAATACTTTAGAATGAAGTGTTCGTCATATTTGTCCGCCCTTTTGCATCAGTTTAAGAGTTACCTTACCCACGAGTTTCCAAAACACTACTTCCTGGGATTGTGCTCCTCTCAGCCGACTCTCATATTGGGTCTAGTAGAATAGGGCTGAAAAAGAGTTGTCCTTATGAAAGGCATCTACGGGTGGAAAAGGGTAAGTAGAGATGGTATCAAAATGACTCAAAAGGTGGTGGGAGGGGATCAAAAAGTGCAGTTTTAAGGGAGTGAGATGGGCTGAAAAATCGCGTATTGATGTGAATCAATTAACATAAGTAAGGTCAAAAATAGGATTTTCGATGAACATACAACATACCATCAAGTATCAACGATTAAACGTGAATTTTCAACCGGAACTAGTAAAATCTATCTTTGAATAACTTCTTTTCACTCCGATACTAAAACTTTGAAAATAACCTCCCCCCCCCCCCCCCCCCCCCC